ATCAAACTTTCATTTTCTGTGTACTCTGCAGTATGGTGTCCTGTTTAAAAAAAAAATCGTTCACCAGATAACATCTGCCTTTTTCCTGAGAATGTAGGCCTACACAAGTATTTCCCTAACCAATATTCTAAATGTTATACTGAACGGAAAGTTAATTGGGATAGACGTACATAACGAGAGTAAGAAGCGGTTTTTGCAAGTGTTTCTGGAAAAATAACAACAATTACAAAGAAACAAACTTTAAAACAAATCAATTACAAAAACACACAAACGAGAGAAAGAGATTTTAATATAGCATTAAGTAGGAGAATGGGTGCGTTGAGTTTGAGTGGGGGAGATTCGAGAGCGAGAGAGAGAGAGAGAGAGAGATGGGAGAGAGAGAAAGACAACAAAATAATAACATTACAATTGAGGATCTCACTTTGATCTTGTATAGAGCTTAAACAACTAATTAATGAGGATGAATCTAGCAATTAAAAGCAATATTCATCATTTAGGCATTTAATACCTTGCAAACATTTTCAAGTTCTGGGATGATTTTTTTTTTTCTTTCGTTCAGTTTCATGTGAAATATACCCCAAGCATCACGTCAATTTTTGAAATAAATATGGGATAATGCTATTTTTGCCACAAGCCCCTCTCCTCCTTTTCTCTACACCCCCCCCCCCCCGCTTTCCAAAAGAAGAACGCGAACAGCAACAACAAAAGTAGAAGAAAGAAGAAGAAGATGATGAAAGGAGAGAAAATCTTTGTGTTTCTTCAAACTAATAATTATTATTCTGCCAGGTTAATTTATAGACTTAATAGCAACATAAGTGCATATTCGAAATTGTCCAAAATGTATTACATAGACATTTCACTTGCAAACCACCATGCGCGAAGATGTAGCAATACAATTAGTCGATACCTCTCCAAATTGAACTTCTTATGAAATCAATTTTCACGAGTCGTTTCAACGGCACACATGGTATAGCGCCACCACTTGACCGAGATGGGATTAGTTTTCAGCGATCGGCTCTGCAGCTTTGCAACTCTGCTAGTCAAACCACTGACGGAGAGTTCATACACTATGACAAGTAGACGTGTCTTTGAATGTTGAATGAAGCTAGAGTATGCTTTCTGCGAAATGTTTGAATCATCTCTAGAATAAAACTTGATGAACACATGTCCTATGTTCTATTGAATTTGCCACCTTGGGCAGTAGACAGCTGCTAAGCCGAGATCACGTCGCCCTGCGGTTTCGGTCCTCATCGGTCCTCAAGAAAATACGTCCAAAGTTTGATTTAAACATGAAAACGAAAGACCCTGTCACGTTGAGGTTTTATAGATCTACACTAGTTTTAAAAAGAAATGAATAAAAGTCAGCATTGTTCACCGCTGATATCGATCAATTAAAATATCATGAATTACAAAAATATATATAAATAAAAATGAGAATAGTTGGTAAATGGTAACAAAGCGTTCAAGTATAAAAATATTCCTTTTACTAACTGAGACCCACAAAAAAACATACATAAACGGAGAAAATAAACATATAAGGCGGGAAACCGAGTGGGTTTAATTAAAATATCAACGGTATTAACGCATTACTCGTCAAATCTTGCTTGGGCTCATCACGAAGCGAATTGCGCAACGTACGCTTGGGAGGATAGCCGAACCCCCGGTGAAAGCGAGTTTGTTATGACAGCATGTAACGCCAGCGTCAAACAGCGTGAAGATTTTGTCAGTTTTTGCCTCCAAAAGTTGTCGCATCGCACTTTCATCCACATACTAATTAGTATGCGTTTGAGAGTTTCCGACACTTCATAAATTCATTAATTTTACTAGGATAAGGGGTAAAATGTTAAAAGGACAATAAAAAAGAAAATGAAAAAAATAATAGGGCCTTCTTTACGGGCATACATCACCTGTTCGGAGCAAATAGGGCTTAGCTCATTATTGATTCATAGAGAGCTTTCAACATATTAAAAGCAAACCCTGTGGTTCTATATCTCGTAAAATCTTGTAAGTAATCTCATGGAAAAATGCCAAGAAAGTCATGAGATATAAACACTGTTTTGATGGCCAGTCATGATGAACGTTGTAGTGATATCAAAAGATTCCATCAAATTACCTTCATCATAATCATCATTCATTATTAATTCAACACCCCTGCTTTTTGTTATACCAGCACAGTTGCAAAAACATGATGAAAACACGCATTTCATTTTTCATCGTGCGTGCGTAGATGAAAAACCACCCTTCAATTTTTCATAAATCGCACGAACCCAAGCCAAACCAAAAGAAACACAACAAAAAAAATCTACAATTTGTATACCATATCGTGCCGACTTTCCAATCCATATTAGCCTCAAATACACACAGAGAAACTAATTTCCGCTTGTCGGCTATTTCATGATACAAAGCACATACTCACATTTGTTCAAGGAAAAGTATTATTTACTCTAAAATCGATAGGACTGCGATGAAACAAACCCAGAGTTTCAGTTCTCCCCATCTCTTTTGTTTTGCCAATGCCACCCCCTCCCACGATGTCAAAATAGTGGTATAAAACAGCTCAAAAGAGCGATCGATAAAGTAGAAAATTATAACAAATTTACTTTGAAGTGAGAGATCCATTATTGTACTCCAGTGAGATATTTTCTTCTTTAAACCAACTTGAGTTGCTATACCATATTACCAATTTGGATCGACAAACAAGCCATATCTTTTACGAATTTTCGTGGTCGAGAATCATTGTAATCCAATTTTGTAGTAATCATTGGTAAACTTGATGAATATCCATCATATATTTATTTTTAAAATATGTGTAAATAATTGATATTAGATTTTGTTCATTTAAGTTACAGATGGAAAAGAGCAAAATGCTCTTGTAAAGTAATAAGTAAAGATAGGTGGTTACACCACTCAAACAGAACACACCAGTGCCTGGGTGTACCCTATATATTTTCAGCTCATAACAGCCGGTCACCAAAACCCCGATAAACTTTGGAGTTCACAACTCAGATACCAGCTAGCTTGGAAGTGGGTGTGGCAACGAGGGCGAAGATATATTTTCCCCTCTTTTTCTCATGTTAATTTGGTTAGTCCTCGACACACGACCCTGCCACGCGAACTGTTTTCGACCAATCAAAACTCTCCATTTCGATTCGTAACTGGAACACAAAATCACCTTGGCACTTCGAGAGGGAGGATGTCATCAGTCGGGAACAGCACCCTAATTTATTATCCATCCCTCTTGAGCGACGGAGCGAGATTTTGTTTCTTCACTTGTCTCTTTTTCCCTCGCGCGGCCCTATAATCCTGGTCGTAATGGTAAGAGGCGAGCGACTGGCACGCGCCGCGCCTGCGACGCCAACTAAAACACACCTACCTAATGAATATTCAACACACAATTGTGACCCTTGCTCGCAAGCGGCCCTGTCGCTGAGCAAATCTTGAGTTCGTTCTTTGGCGAGGCACCACTAACTTTGGATGTAGTACGCCCGCTAGCGTCCATTTCTGACATGAATTTTAAATCACAATCGGTGTAACATATTCGTAAATAATTGCAATATAGTGAATGTATTCAACTGCTTTCTTTTAACATTTCATTCTCTACATAACTGTGCATTAAATGCAATTGCATATCTATCTACAACTGTACATTAAAATGATTGAATGAGGTAAATCTAGAAATCTGTGAATGTCATCAAAAGCCTCACTAAACAAAAAAAGTTACTGGTACTACAATCAGACGAAAACAATTGTATCCCGTTTTATTCCTACCGCTCTCAAGGTTACGAGTTATGATTCGGGAAAATATAATAAATACAAAATTTCATGAACCATAAGGACAATAAAAGATTCCATTTTTAACTTAAATAAAGGAGAAGGTAATGGTGTAGAAACGAATGGATTACCTAAATTAAAAAAAATATTATATCTGAGCGAAAATCGAATTAGTTTGTTAAATAAGCAGGGTAGGATTTCAACAAGATTTCTAAATGTTAAATAATAGTCCTTAAACGTTAACAAAAAAGACATTCCTTGAATATAGACATATCTTGTGATTCGGTTAATTCAATTCAATTCAAAGTTTATTCAACACTCTTTATACATACATTTAAAACATACAAATAAAGAATGGAATGATAAAAAGGATAGTGATAACAAACTACAAGCATTGCACTTTTATGAACATCTTAAGAGCAATGTGTTATGCATATTTATTTTGTTATAAGATTTCCATTCAATTATATTTTATATTTATGAGGTAACATCTTTGCTTCCTTCTCAGGTGAAAATACAAACGTAATTTTGACACTTAAAATTGTAATTCTAGAATGCTATGCGATGTGTATGCTGCACATAGACGTGCATAAATACTTCGGTTAGAATAGAATATACACGGGATGATTTATAGTTGAATGTGCCAAATGTAAATTATCAGATTTGAAAGTGAAGGGGGTAAAACATGGGCCAGAAGAAAACAAATTGTCGAGAATAAAGTTTATTTTCGACCCCAAATCGCCACCTGCGATTTGAGAGCTCTAACGTTTTATGAGTGATCAAGTTTTAGAGCGGTGGGGGTATAAAACTTTAATACCATGCGAACTGCACAGACGGTCTGGTTCCCATAGATGCGTCTACTTTAATACACCTTTATCTTGTCTTATCGAATACTTTTCTGCTGATGTTGGAAACATTGCTATGAATAAATGTCGATTTCGAAAGATACTCCTACATATTTTGGACTAAAAGTGAAATTAAATCAACGAATTGAGGTAGTTTCCACGATTAGTATGTGTAGGTACGGTGTAGGGCTATGAGTCAACGTTACGCATACACACTCGCACACTGTTTACGGGTATGCTAATTCGTAAGGCACTCGTTCTGGTAGGCTCCGCCCACCGGGGGCGTGACTTCAATCCATCAACCTTGCACTCGCACCGTATACTGTGCACCTGCGTTCTACGGATTCGCTTGTGTGTGGGAGTTTCGGTATAAATACCCCAGAGTGCACGAAATACAGCATAACTTTTCTGAGCGACTACTCGAGTAAGAACCGCATGCACTGTTTTGCTGTCTCCACAGCACTTGCGGAATCTTTGCTCCGAACTTAGTCAAAAATATTATTTCGTCGATTCGTAGATTTTCACGTTCGAATCTACACTTCTTGGATTTATACCATCTGATATTTTGATGCACCTGTTTACACCACGAAAGTGAATGCTGACTTCAAGATGGTTCCTCAAAACCTCACATCAAATGGACTAATAACAATGCAGTCACAGCAGATTCCAAATGGCCATGGCTCACCTGGATCTACGGGTTCCTCAGAAGAGCTTCGCCAGTCGACGCTCGACATCGCTGAAGACATCTGCCAGACGAACTGGAAGGGGAACAACGGGCACATCAAGAGGCCGATGAATGCTTTCATGGTTTGGTCACAAATCGAGAGGAGACGCATCATGGAGACTACACCAGATATGCACAATGCTGAGATCTCCAAGCGACTGGGAAGGCGGTGGAAGACCCTCGATGAAGTGGCGAAATCTCCGTACGTCGAGGAGGCAGAGAGGCTGAGGCTTTTACACATGGCTCAGTACCCTGACTACAAGTACCGTCCCCGAAAGAAGTCCAAGCCTACCACTAAGCCAGAAGCTGCTAAGACCACCAGCAGCAAACCAAAAGCCAACAAGCCCAAGTCATCATCGAAATTGACGAAGATGAATGGCATCGTGATCGACCAGATGCACCCGCATCAGATCGTGCAGTCTGGCCGCATTGAGAAGATCCCTAAACTCAAACTCACCATCGACAAGAAATTCAGGGAGAACATGAAGGCAAGCAAAATTGTGGAGCTAGTCCCCAGCCAGCTCACCCCTCCCGCCAAAGTCCCCGCCAGCCCGACCGGCTCCAACACGGACCCTTGCAACGAGCAGAGCCTTTACGAGGATTACGCCAATATCCAACACACGTACGAAATGCAGCGCTACGAATTCGGCGTGCCCAGTGGAGCCACATCAACAACGTGCTCAAGCCCGGCATCATCAGATGTCTCGCAGCAATCGTCCATGTCGACAAACTCCTCCGTTTCGTCCATGTCAACGGGATCGTCGTATTGTGCGCAACAGTCGATTGAAGACGTTGTCTTCCCCGGTGGACTTACAGGTTCTGAATTCAATAACTTTAATTTTGGGTCAGTACCCGACGATCTCAGCCCGCTCGATTCAGTCGGTAGCAATGGCAGTCATTTCGAGTTCCCCGACTACACAACGCCTGAGGTAAGCGAACTCATAGACTCAGATTGGCTGCTTTCGTCCATGATTTCAGCATACAACTAAACAAGCCGAACAATTTTTTAAATATATATTCCTGAACATTTCTGCAAAGGAAAGAATATTATTCAACAACTCTTGAACAGATTATTCCTGCCGAAAAGTGATTTTTGTGAACTTTTCACCGTTTCATCTGAAGAACAATCAGGTTTAAACTTCCCATTCCAACGTTTTTGCTAAGTGAGCTATCGCTGCAGGCTGGCGATGCTCGTGCTAAATTTGTCAACGATTTTCATGTGAGTTTGTTTTTTGTCAAACACTTAAATTACAAGAAAGAAGTATGCCTTACAATGACCGTAGACTGAACAGTTTTGCAACAATCAATTTGTCGTTGTATATAGTCCTTACAAGTGAGAATTCGTGCAGGCAATTTTTTGAAAATGATGTCTTTGTAGAAAAGAGAAGTATTGTATTTGTAGAAATTCATTATTGTGTACTTACATTGCACTTGTAGTGCAACTGCTCTGACGCTAAAAAAGAAGTGCATTCATTTGCTGCAAATTAGACCTCATAGAGCAAAAAAACTATTTATAAAGACAAAAAAGCCTTGAACTGCTGTAAAAGCTTGGCACGCGAGCAAGTCTCGATTTTTTTTTTTACTGCAATCGTGACCTTTCGTGACCTCCCATCACAAAACGGCTATTCAACCGTACCGTGTGGGAGTGCAGCGTTTATCAAACAATGCAATGTATTCACTTATTCAATGTGGTGTTTTGTACATTGCTTATATATATTTTACACGTGCTAATTTAATCACTGAATTTAAACTCTAAAATGATTCATCATGCGTCGAGTGGTTGTACTTTCATTTATAAGGGTTCAATTTTGACGAGCATGTTCCACAAAACATATCATTTGAAAGTTGGGGTATTCGCTAGTTTCTTATATATATTTTCCATGAAGATTTTGAACAAATTTCGACTGCACTCTAATAATTCCGAGATGATACATTCTTTGTCAGACACCTATTATTGATATTTATATTATTTATGCAAAGGAATTGTACAGGTATAATAATATATGTTGTACTTTGTGGAGCTATGTATGCATTTACATTTGTGTATATCATAGGCCGTGTGCGTACTATGTAATAGAATAGCTTTAGATATGAAATTCCAGCTAACTGATGGTTGCTCGATTTTTGTTGACAGAATTCCGAAAAAATCCAAAATTATTTTGCAAAGAGATTTGAAAGAAAGATATTTGAAAAGGAAAAGAAACTATTTGAGAGAAAATATAGAAAGTTTGATTTGAGTTAAAAACCTCACATTTTATCAGATTGACTAAATTACACGATGGAGGTGTACTATTATGGAATTGAGTGGGTTTTTAAATCAGATTGAAAATATTTTGTATGAAGAGAACAGATTATTTGGAAAATCATAGACTATTATTAATGCTCATGTACATTCGTAGATGTTTTATATATATATTTCTTCTGTCTATTTTGTACATAGAGATACTATCTAACCTATTTCTAAAATTTCGTACTCAGCTTTTTTAAAAATAAATAATATTTTGTAGAAATAAAGAGCTTACAGATTGTCAAAGGAAAAGTTGCTTGCGTAGAAAGACATAGACATAGCGTGCACGATCAGAGAAACGTAGCACATCGCTTTCAAAACTTCTCATAGATTTGCCTATAAACTGCCAGAAATATGCTCGTTATTGCAGCGAAATAAGAGCAGCAGTTTCCCTTTTTAAACAGAATTCCTCAAACTGTTTACAATGTGCAAATTTATTGCGTACCATCCTAGTGCAGTATACGAGTCATTGTTATTGTTATTTTATTCATTATTATATCTTGTGACTTCCAGCCGACTAGACACATCATTTGTTTGTCTAACTTCCAATTTTGAGGAGACAGTCAATTGTCATTTTTATATATTATACAATGAACAATCCGGTAATAACCGAATACGAATCCGGTAATAACCGAATACAAGGTGTTGATACTTATACGGTGATAGCGACAATATACGTGCTTGTAAAATGTATGTCATTTACAACGGTGAATTTTTCCTAATGAAATTTGTAATATATTTTTGAGCCTAAATCATTTGATACAAGACTTTGTTACTCGTAACTTTAAAAAAGTGAGAAAATGAAGAAAAAAAAACTTTCAAAATAAACATTTTCAAGAAATGAAATCGATATGTTTCACGATATGATTATTGTACCCAGAATGTGTGTGTGACGAAATGTTCGTGTGTTAGTAATATTGGTTGATCTAGAAGTAGGAGATTATATTTTGGAATGTAATAGGAGAGAGAAAGAGAGAGAGAGGCAGACAGATGGAGAGAGAGAGAGAGAGAAAGATACGGAAACTGAAGATGAAGAGGGGGAGCGCGCGAGAGAGAGAGAGGAAGATGAAATATTTATGGATTTTAAAATGCAGTGTGGTAATTCTACTGTTTGCAACGTGTATGCAGGGTGTAATATGCTATTTGGTCGCAAATGAGGTTTTGTTTTTCCAATATGGGGGAATGGTGCAAGTCGTGCACTTGAGAAAAGGCACACAAATGTTGGCGATTTTTTTTTTTACACGAAGCTTCCAAACAATACATGCCATTAATGGCGTACATTTTGACCGTCTTCACTAGTTAGTAGTTACTACGTATAAACACGTCTATTTTCATTTCTCTTTCTAACTACCCTATTTTCAAATTATCCTTATCTATCGATCCTGCTCTTTTACTATCTTATGATCTATTTACTGTTAATTCTCTACCCTTCTCGATACATTTACCGATTCTTCAGACTCAGTTTTTATCAATTGCAGTTAGTCATAGAACCCAAATTACCCTTTTATAGTGTGTGCACTCGAGCGCTTTTGTAATTACAAGAAAGCTCCTAATCCTTATCAACGAGTTGCATTGTGTACCGCTCTTTCGGGTCATTCTTGTTGCAAGAAAGAGGGAGAGAGAAATGGGGAAGATGGGCGGAGAGGTCGGTCGGAAGGGCTCAGAGAGAAAAGGAAGGGTGAGAGTAGGAGAGGGGAGAGAGAGAGAGAGAGAGAGAGAGAGAGTGAGAGAGTAGGAGAGAGAGAGAGAGAGAGAGAGATAGAGAGAGAGAAAGAGAATCGAAAGGTCAATGTTGTGTTGTACCCCGTATGACCTGTAACTGACCTGACCGTTGAAAGAAACCGTGCTGACAGAATTCGGAATCAGGAAAGAACAAAAAAAGAAGGAAAATGCGTTGAAAAATCGATCGACGTTTTGAAAAAACGGTTAACTATCACGTCCAATAATTGTCAACAAACACATAATGGCTAACATGAACAGAAGACCAAACCAGCATGCCGGACGGTGGGGACAGTATTTGGAACGAAACAAAAAGTAGTAATGGAGAGTCAAATGCCCCTTTCTTGAAAAGCGATCAATAAAAGATCTGAAAATCTAAAAGGTCTGAAAAGATGGAAAAAATTTCTACGATTTTGGACAAAATAAATTCAAACTCGTTCTCTGAATATCAGGTTTGTTGTTGTTGTCTTGGGCCAACACACGTCAACAGCATGCCAGTCATGGTCGAAACTTTAGTGTTTTCATCGCTATCACTCCACACTCGCAACTTGGACCATTGTTACGTCATTTATATTTGTTCCTTCAAATTCAAAAGAAAGGGGCATTTACAGTAGGTTAACCACGTGAGTTCAGAGTTTGCTATTACTATTAGTCATTCCTCCGTGTTAGGTCCACGCTCTGCTGTAGGTCTACTTGCTTATCTTTTGTCCGTATATTTACCTACTGACCCCTTCTCTTTTTCTGTCTTTTTTTTTGAGGGGGGGGGGGGGGGGGGCTTCGCTCCGTGTTAAAAGGGGGAGGGGCCTCTATAAGTATCCGCTGCACACGATAGCGACTTTACTATTAGTGTTGTCCGACAGTGTATAGTATACTGTAATGACGGTTACCATCAACAGGAGTGAAAATAATTTAACAAAATAAACATGGAAATGAATCGTAAATATAAGTATTTTTCAAGTCTGACACAAACAAGTTAAGACACGACAATAAGCCGTACGTAGGTCTGTTCCCTCAGATAACATAAGGATCACATCGTTATGACTTAAAATACAATACAGGTACTGGCGTTCACATTCTTTTTCAAAGAGGTCACAAAATATTTAATCCCATCTTTCTACATTGCACACTGTGCCCGCTCTCCTCGCAAAGTTCTTACAGCATTCCAGGAGCACCTCCTTGCTGTATCTTGGGATGTGGACGTCTTAAAGAGAAGATCGAGTTCTGTTTTCTGAGCTAAAAAGTGTCACCTGAACTTGAACAGAATGACTCTTCAAATGCCTTATAATATATTTGAAAGATGACAAGTAACGGTTGTTGACCACACTTCATGCCACACGTATGTGTATTCCAAATACATTTTGGAAAGACTTTGCCAATTTCTAATCATTTTGATAATTCTGAAAAACCTCACAGTATAGACCAATACGTATCTCCTATTATGTTCAACCTTGTCCCAATAACAGTATCACAGTTTCCTTTACAATGCAATCGTATGACCAGAACTCAACTTCATCTTGAAATGCTCGCTTTTCGCATTCTTTGAACGCTAGGTCACTTTCTATCTGGGTATTACAGGGGTTTTCACCATGAGGCGGAGGTGGGCTCTCGCTGTGCAAACACACTGGGGGTCGAGCTCAAGATGAAAAGAGCTGGTATTTAAAATAAAAAAATGGCTGATGGTTTAGGATAGTTTGAAATGATAGGATACAGACGACATTCCATGGTCACTGCGATCCAATCCTACCCCTCCCCCCCCCCCTCTACCCCCACTCATCGAGAGTTCACCCCCTCCTCTCCACTCCTCCACTGCGGCTCCACTCCCCCCCCCCCCACCCCCTAGCCGGTCCATTCCTGTCAAAGAAAAGAGAAAGAAAAGGTGACTTGAACATTTTGTTTAGATGGGTTAGCCTATACATGGGTTTATCCTACATGCATCTCCGGATAGTCTTCACCCCCCCCCCCCCCCCCCCCCCCCCCCCCCACCTCCGCGTGTCCACCTCACCCTCTCCCCAAGCGTATATAAATTATGTGCATATTACACAGCTTCCATGAACGGTAAACGATGATAAACAACCATACACCGATTTCTCCCCCCCTCCCCCGGCCCCCCCCCCCCTCTTCACATACAAAATGCGGAATTTTTATTCAGGCACCATTTTATTTAACCAGTAGTCCTATTATTTACTTCCTATTTTATATTTTTCAAACAACTCTCAATCGAGTGCATGGCAGTTTACACACGTACCCTAATTTACACGAGATACAACAGGAGAACCCCGGTCCGAGGTTTGAACCATGGATCCAATACCATGCAGTATATGCGTAGGAGGGTGATACCCCCATGATAATAGACATTGCGTTGATACATGTATACATGTAATATCTCAATCACATCGCTAAACCAGGGAGAAACTCTCATCTCCCTGGCTAAACCAACCAACATCTCAACCATTCTGTAAATTTTCCTTCAGTCTCTTGTCGACTAGGCCCCCGTCTGATAAAGGCAGTTGAAATTAATCGCAAATATATTTGTACATAAGCGATATGCGACTGCAAACTGCGATTGTTTAGAATTAGATCGGGACTTGCTATTGATCAATCGCGACTCTTTATGAGACGGGGCTCCGGTGTTGGTCACGACCGTGTGACTTTCTGTTTAATATTATTACTGTTGTGCTGGTATGATGTAAAGTTTTATCGTTATTAATATAATCTCGTAATGGACCATATCACAAATTGATCTGGTCAGAGACAGGTCCACCAGGCCCAGGGTCCATTCCAGCTCTCTGGTCTTTCTATTCTATCCACGTGCCTGGGTGCACCCGGCTCATTTGATCGTCTAGACTACTAGGCCTGTCTGGACTTGAATATAATACCTTCACATTCCTACATGTTAGGTCCACGATGGAACAGATGAATATACCAGAGACATGCTGTACATAGCTGTCGATTAGGTTGAACCATTTTTAGACGAATGATTTCTGAAGAATTTTCAAACAAGTTTATGGAATTTAAAATTAATATCGTTGGTTTGAAAGCCCCTAATGCATTGGCCGTCTTACTAGCCTGTTCAAATTGTATGTATACTGTTTAAACTAAAGAAAGGTCGTTCTTGAGTCATCGTGAGAACATGAACGCTTGTTCAAGGTTTGCCCGATATAGCAACGAGCAATGTATGCAGACTGGATTCCAAGTTTTGTAGTTTATTCATTATTAACAGGTTAATGGATAAATCGTCACTATAGGTCCCAAGAAAACAAATCATACATTTGAATATGTTAGTATACTGGTCTATTGGGGGCTTTCAAATTAATGCTATCAGCCTCTAATTCCATAAACTTGTTTGAAAACTTCTGTAGAAATCAGCATAAAAAATGCTGTGTATTCCTTTCTTTTCTTATGCCATTTTTTAAAATAAAGGTTATTCAAATTTGTTGTGTGTATTTGGCAAGTATGGCTATTGCATTGTACCGAATAGGAGTCTCATAGCGCAATTTCACCACGTGGTCTGCAAGCACATGCAGACTCTAATTTGACACTTCCTAAAGCCTTGACCAGAGCCTAGATGTGGCAGCTACTGACCATATCAAGCTCGGCTAAAGTACAGAGCCTTTAGTAGTCTCGCATTGCAGACACTATTACGCACAACGAATGCCGAGGGTTTGTGCCTGCAAACTAACAACCACGTGGTTCATAACCACGCATCATTTTGGTTTGAATCACCACGTGTATTGGCAATGTAATATAGCATATTGTAAACGTTGGTATATTTTGATTGAATGAACAAGAAAAGGGCTGATATCACTCACGAGTCACGACGCTACAGCAGCAAAGTGTCTGTATGCTTCTGTAACATATTGTAGGAAAACTTAATCTTTCACATGATTTACATTATGATATTTTGTACATTATTTATTGAGCAGAATGATATTGAAACTCGTCGTGACAGGTGCATTATATTTATTTTAAACAACATTAAAATGAACAGGAACACCGGTAATTGGTAAAGGCTTACAGGACACACGTTGTCTTCTAGATTGGGAATCTTTACATCAGGGAGTTTTGAATTTCTCTTTTCGTGGTTTTATAAGGATGTAACCGCAAGTTGATTAATGGACATGTGCAGA